TTTTTTTTTTTATCTTATGGGGAAAATTCTTCTTACTGGTTTGGCATAGTATTGATGAAGACAGAGAACATAATTGAGGGAGGTTAAAGAAAAGTGAGCAGAGAAAGAAAAATGTGTCAAATATTAAAGAACAATATACCGCTTGGTTTTTTTTATAAAAGAGTCTAGCTTTGGTAACTGTACAGCTATGTGACAATAGTTATCGTTGTATAACAGTCAAGTCTCATTAGCTTGGAATTCAACAAGCGGGAGAAATAAAATCAATTTTCAGCACTGGTGTGAATAATCCAGTATGTCATTTTACCTGCACTATAACAAAGACCTCACATAGGCCCTTCCTTCCTCAGCCAGGAAAGCTTTGAATAAGACAAGTTGATAGTGAGAATTAAATTATTCTGTTGTTTACTCTCCCCTCCTATTGGCAAACCATGATCATTATTCATCGATTTTCTTTCTTTTTCTGGTCATAGCACCTGATGCTATACTTGTAATACAGAGCAGACAGTCCTAAATATTTGTCATGAAGACAATCAAAACCCTTTCCTGTTGGCTGTGAAATGTTTTTGGCTTTGAAGAAGGTGTTACTAAGCTCATCAAATATATACAGCTAAGATGGTTTTTACCTGAAAAGAAACACAACTTTCTCTAAAGCAAATGAATATGGGAGTAAAATAAATATTTTCAGGGTGAGGGACCAGGACAAAAAAGGGAACTGAGAAATAGAAGAGGAAAAAGAAAGGAAGAATATAGTGTCTTATGCAAGAATTAAAGTTATCAAGGTGTAAACACTTTTTAATCCATCTTTCTAATTCACTTTACACATGTAAATGGTTGTCATGAATTTCCAAATTCAACTGGAGACAAGTAAAGGAAAAATCAGAAGGCACTCAAGTAATGTGCTACAGCAGTCTTACGGGCACTTTTAATCTACTTACTCTTTGGGGGAAAGCCTTTTTCTGAAGCCAGAACATATAATGGGGTACCAGACAACAGAGGGAAGAATATGGAGATTTAAATACTATTCCCAATTCTATTCCTAATGGCCTGTCTGATCTTTAGCTTTCATTGATCCCATGTTCACAAGGATCATTGAACTTGCTCTTCCAATAGATACTGGATAGGAATCCAGCTCCTGAGCAGGCCTTACAAGGCCCTTGGTAATCTAACACAACCAATCTTTCCATCTTCATCTCTTACCCCTGCCCTCATCCTACCCAGGGTAGTCCCCATTCCCTAAACACACCACCCTCTTCCTTTCAGATGGGCCATTCCCACTGCCTGGAACCCCCCCTTTCCCCTCCCCCACACCTCCATGACCACATGACAGCCACCTGACACTCAAGTTCCCTTCAAATCCTGGATTGCCTTGGGGATGATTTCTCCAAGCTTCTAGGCCCATGTAACCCCTTGTTCCAAAATGCAGGTTTATTATTATTCAGACAAGGAGATGATTGCCATTGAAAAGATCATTTGTTATTCACATTTCCCCAGGGGAGGAGGCAGGCAATGCCACACAAGGCCACCTGGGGAAGCACCACAGTCAGGAGGCAGAGGGAGTAAGGAGGAAATGTGGGTAAAAGCCTCATATTTTGGCTTCTGCAGGAAAGGCAAGCCAAGACAAGGCAAGCCAGTTTAGGATTGGCTAGCCTGAACAATTTCAACAGGCGCTGGGGTGCAGGGGCTGTCTTTGGTTGTCTGGAGTCTGGCCCTGGAGTGATTAGGGCAGAGGAAAACTAGCCCTTGAGGGCGATTGCCCCACAGAGGAGGCGGTGGGGTGGGTGGGTTCTGGATCACTTAGTTTGCTTGTGAAAGGTATGCTCCCTGGTGGGCAAGTTGTTTACTATCTCTAGGAATTGGCTAGCTCTGGGAAGTGTCGTCTTCCTGGAGTCAGCAAAGCCTCAAGATGTCAAAGCATCAGAATTACGGAAAATAAAAAGGCTTGATTAATAGGCCCCTTCCTGGTGTACTTTGTGTGATACCTTTATAACATTTTGTACTCAAATTGTTTGTCTGTTCCTCAAGATCAGAGATCTCACCTTTGGAACTTGGATACACAAAGATCTAAAATTAAACAAGAAAAAAAAAAAAAACAAAAACGAAGGCAGATCATCCTTGACAGAGAACCAGAGATGAGTATTTTAAATAATCTCCTAATGTTGAATTTCCCGGAGTTTTCAAGATCACAAAATTGAAATTGATGACTGCACTGGGAGTATTTATATATAAAATCTATAGAGTCAGCCAGCCATTGGCGGTCCAGTGCAGGTATAAGAAGCTCCAGCCAGGCCCAAATAAGCACTCCTTAAGATTTCAGTGCCTTTGGGCCTGCAGACGGGGTCCTCTATCATCTGTATGAGCTGAGCAGCACCTTATATTTATACTATTTCTTCAATATGGATTAAATCAATCATGACAGCAAATAGTATTCTTCCCTTAAATCGTTCACTCAATCCCGCAAATGAACATCCATTAGCCCACACTTGATTTTCACAAGAATAATAAATCGGGAGACAGAATGAGACGGAGGCTCCTATTTTTCTGTGAAGATATTTCCCCTTTAAGAAACAAAATGGGAAAATATGTAAAGTAATTGCAGAATACATCTCTCTTAATGTCCTTGATTGTAGCCCATTCAGTAAGAACCCCAGAGAGCAGTGTGTGCCTGATTGGAGGAGAGCAATATACAATAAATGAGGCCTGAGGATTAGGGGAAACAGCAGGTTCCCAATACATGATGTTAACCAAAAGTAAGGAAGGATGGGGCAAAACAGATCAAGAAAATCAGCAAGGGGAGAGAAAACAGAACCAGGACCAGTAGATGGAAAAAAAGAAACGCATGCGCTAATGATTGAGGTCACTCATTTAAGACCAACTTTCACTCACTGTGATTGGCAACCAGAAAACACAATCAACACTAAGTGAAATTCATTACTGCCATTGAACAAAATCTATAATAAAAAACAGCCAACTCCTCCTTTCTGCCAGTTACAACATCCTCCTCTTTAGGTCAAATGGAACCACTTAGGATTGCTGTAAATGAGACAATGTATGTGAAAGCATCTAACATACTGAAGAGCAAATGGGGCTATTCAGTAAATGTTAGTGTTCCATTTCCTCCCCTGCATGCAATTTGGGAAAGGCTCCAAAGTTGTCCAGTACGTGGTCAATGGATAAGGGATACATTTATCCCACCAAAATTAAATTTCATGGCTGGTGAGAAATGCAAGATTTCAGAGTAAGAAGGTCACAAAGGGACTCCATGTGTGGTCCTTTCCTACTATTACTCGCACTACCTGGCATTGTCCTTGGCTCTCCCTCAACGACAGCAGACAGCCTCTACCTTTCTCTTTGTGGCCAGAGGTTAGCGGGTGTATGTCCACCCACTTGGCAAATGTGGTGTTTCCTTTGTGTCTTAGTCAACCCAAACATGCCATTAATGGAAGACATCAGCCGAAGATTTGCAGTGTCCTGGCTCTTATCCCATTACTTCTGCCTTACTAAGTGGATCATGGGAGGGGAATCTCATTTCCCTTATTTTCTACCTTTAATTTCCTTTGAGCTTTTTTTTTTTTTTTTCCAGAGGAGCAATCACACAACTGAGATTTAGATGACTCTAGTGAATCCTCTTTAATTTCTCTCTAACATATTTTCACAATTCATACTCACATGTCTTATACGCAGTGGAGGATATCAAATCTGTTTTTACCTCCTAGAAATATGCCAAATTGTATAGAATAAAACAACTGTCCTAAAAGTAAAGAGGTCATCATAGAGCCACTGTGTCAGGTTATACAAATCATGCCCTATCTGAGGATTCCTGATTCAGGAGCTAAGTGGGGTTATAATCTAGCCCTTGTTCTGTTTGCTAAGCAACGCCCAGAAGAGGTGCATTTTCCTAATGTATGCAAAGGCACTGTATCAGACAGAGTGACTCTTCTCATGGCAACATTAATATCAAAGAAGAATTAAGTAAACATATGAAGCTTGGTGTTATATAGCCAAATAGATATCGCCAATAATAATAGCAATTAACGTTTGCATTTTCTTCCACATTATCCCTATGGAAATTCATTTTCCATCCAATTTATTTATGGCTTAATTTGAAAACAATAATCTAATCTAATAAAGATTTCTGGATTTAAAAGCTGAAATGGTATAAATAGCAAAATTCATCAAAATTAAAGAATTTCACTTCTGAAGTACAAATGCCTAAAGGTAGAAAGGCACCACCAAATTCTTCTCCCTAAAGGACAAAATTAATTAAGTGCAAAAAAAGATTAGAGACCTGAAATGAATTCAAGCCCCACTATAAATAATGTAATACAAAATACAAAATTCCTCTCCCACCCAACTGACTTATGGAGAATCTGAAAACATACTTTTTTTTAAAGATCTATTTATTTATTTTAGAGAGCAAAGGTGTGGTGGGGAGGGGCAGAAGGAGAGGGACATTCTTTTTTTTTTTAAGATTTTATTTATTTGACAGAGAGAGAGCATGCACAAGCAGGGGGAGCGGCAGGCAGAGGGAGAAAGCAGGCTCCCTGCTGACCAAGGATTCCCGATGCAGACTGGATCCCAGCGTCCTGGGATCATGACCTGAGCAGAAGGCAGACACTTAACCAAATGAGCCACTCAGGTGCGTGGGAGAGAGACAGTCTTAAGCAGACTCCACATTGAGTGCAGAGCATGACAGGGGGCTCAATCTCACGACCCTGAAATCACAACCTGAGTCGAAACCAAGAGTTGGATGCTTAACCCACTGCAGCACCCAGGTGCCCTGAAAACATACTCGTTACTAACAGAAAAGATTTTCAATAGAACAGAAGATATTTTTGGCCACAGAACACTTTCCAACATTAAACTCCAGAATGGCCTACCCAAATATAATAAATTTGAAGTGCAAAACACTCCGCTTAATAATAGGAAGAGATGATTAAAGAAACCAGCCCCTACCTTCCAGGGATTAAAATCTTAAGTAGAAACAGACTTAAAACTCTAACATGACTATCATAGGGGTGTACGTGTGCTGCAATGGGAATGAGCAGAAAGGAAAAAGGATGACCCTGAAGGGTCAGGAAAAGGTTTGGTGACATTTGAGCTGAGATACAAAGATGAGAGAATCTAAAGGAGGATTAACTTCTAAACCTCAGTAGCCTGCAGTCACAGCCCACTCAGGAAAGGATAGTGTCTGTGTGGCATGCTGGGGTAAACTGAGGGTGCTGACCCCTGCTGGAGCAAGGAACCTGGCTAAGATAGGCTGCCCCCAGGGATGAAGAGATCTGTAACTCAGTACATCTGTAAGCCATCTTGGCCACACCAGGATGTCATGGAACACTTATTGACCAGTTCTGTAGAGTTTTGAGAGTAAATTGGTAATTCTCAACCTCTGTGACACATTATAATCACCTGAGAGCTTAAAAAAAAATTGATGCCATTTAAATCAGAATTTCTGGGGGAGCAGCCTAAATCTAGGTGTGTTTTATTTTTTTTTAAGATTTTATTTATTTATTCATAAGAGACAGACAGAGAGAGAGAGAGGCAGAGGGAAAAGCAGGCTCCCCACTGAGCAGGGAGCCCAATGCGGGACTCGATCCCAGGACCCCGGGATCATGACCTGAGCAGAAGGCAGATGCCCAACCAACTGAGCCACCCAGGCACCCCAGATAGTATCTATTTCTAAGCACAAAGGAGTAACAAGCTCCAGGATTACCCTTCCATTGTAAACAACTAGAAAACTAGATAAAACACAGAAACAACTATTTTGAGGCACTAGGCAGTAGAGGACTGTGATCCTTTAGAATAGGGTAAAAAATCAGGTGGTTCCTACCATCACCCAGGATTTTTGACAATCTCTAGACTGCAGGACAGAAAAGGGGAATACAAGTAGAGCTTGAGAATCTTGCTGAGTTTAGGATTCAGAGGCAGGAAATTGAGGAGGATAAAGCAGCTAGAATTTGTGGGGCAGAGTCCCCAACAGCAGGAAGCTAAGCAGAAAAACAATTCCAAAAATCTGCATAGGGATCCCATGAGTTTTTTGCCAAATACAAATCTGTGCATGCAAGACTGAAATCCCCAGAAACTAAGCAGAATAACTTCCAAAAAAAGAACAATTGCCCACTCTTTTATTTGTTCAACACTGTACTAAAGGCTCTAAACAGTGCAATTAGACAAGAAAAAGAAATAACAGGCTTGCAGATTGGAAAGAAAGAAGTAAAACTCCTTATGTACACATGACACATAAAAACCCCTAAGGAATTTACCCATAAAAGCCCTTACAACTTATAAGCAAGCTCAGAAAGTTCTCAAAATACAGAATCAATATACAAAAATTAGCTGTATTTCTATATACTAGAAACAAACCATTGGAAATGAAAATTTTTTTAATTCGATTTATAATAGCATGCCAAATATGAAACACTTAGAAGTAAATTAAACAAAATATGTGCAAACCTGTATTCGAAAAACTACAAAAGATTCCTGAGAGAACATGACAAAGGCCTAAGTAAATGGATACATAGACCATATTTATGAATTAGAAGACTCAATGCTATTAAGATTCTCATTCTCTCCAAATTGAGTCATAGATTCAACATAATCCCAATCAAAATCCCAACAGGTTTTTGGTTTTGTTTTTAATAAATCTGATTCTAAAATTACTTGGAAAAGAAAAGGACTTAAAATAGCCAAACAATTCAAAGTTGGATGATGCACTTTCTTATTTCAAGACTTCCTATAAAGCTACAATAATCAAAAGAATATCATACAGGCATTGAAGGGCAGACCTACAAGTCAATGCAACAGAATAGAGAATTCAGAAATAGACCCACACACAGGTGGCCAGTTGATTTTCAATAAAAATTAATATGCCAATTTAATTCAATGGGGAAAAGAAAGCTTTTGAACAAATGTTGGGGAAGGAAAATGAAACTTGACCCTTATTTGAAGTGATACAGAAATTTAACTCAAAATGGACTACAGACCTAAATGTAATATTTAAAACTAATATGTAAACTTCTAGGAAAAAACAGAAAAACATCTTCATGATCTTGGGGTAGGCCAAGATTTCGACAAAACACAAAAGGCATGAACCATAAAAGAAAAAGTTGATAATGTCATCGAAATTTAAAACGTAAGCTCCTTGAAAAACATTTTTGAGAAAATCAAAAGAAAATGAAATTCTCTCCCATGGATTGAGAGAAAATATTTGCGATATGAGTATCTGATAAAGAACTTAGATCAAAAATTCATATTAATTCGTTAGAACTCAGTAAGAAGGCAATACAATTTTTCTTTAAAACAGGCAAAAAAAAATGAACACTTTACAAAGGAAGCCATATGAATGGCCAATACACACATGAAAAGATATTCAACATCATCAGTCATCAGCTATATTCATCATGCCTTTTTATTCTGTGTTTTTGATGTCTTAATACTTTGGTTCCTTTGGGATGGACTGCTAATGGCAGTCATCCCTTGATCTGCTGGCCTTACCATACCTAAATAACAATAAAAGGTGCATTTTAAAACACAGGGAAATTCAAATTAGATGCTCAGTGAAATGCCACTACATATCGGCTGACATGATACAATGTTTAAAAGATAACAAGACCAAGTGTTGGTGAGGATGTGGAACATCTGGAATCCTCCTCCTCCGTTGCTGGTAAGACTGAAATGCTATAATCATTTTGGAAGGCTGTTTGATAGTTTCTTACAAAGTTAAACATACATTTACCATAAGACCTGGCAATTCTATTCTTAAGTTTTTACTCAAGAGAAATTAAAATATATGTCCACACAAAGACTTGTACACAAATTTTTTCATAATAGCTAAAAACTAGAAATCGAATGTCCATTATCCACAGATGAATGGATAAACAAATTATGGCACAGCTATAGTGATATGGAAGGATACGGAGTGAAAGTGAAATAGTACTCAGCAACTGAAAAATGCGACAGCATGGATGAATTATGCTAAGCAAAAAAGTAGGATGTCAAAGTATACATACCGGGGGCGCCTGGGTGGCTCAGTTGGTTGAGCATCCGACTCTTGATTTCAGCTTAAGTCATGATCTCGGGGTCGTGAGATCGAGCCCTTTGTTGGGCTCAGCATGGAGTCTGCTTGTCCCTCTCCCTCCTCCCACTTGTGTGCGCCCTCTCTCTAAAATAAATAAATAAAATCTTTTTAAAAAGTATATATACTGTTAAGATTCCGTTTCTATGAAACTCTAGAAAAAGTCAATTTAATCTACACTGACAGAATGTCAGAGGTTACCTGGTGCTGGGGTGGGAAGAATCGACTGGGAAGGGGCACAAGGACAATTTTGGGGGCTGATAGAACTATTATATACCTTGACTGTGGTGGTGATTGTATGAGTATATAAATGTGTCAAAACACAGTGAAATATAGACTTATATGGGCAGAATTTATTATATGTAAACTATACCTCAATGAAGTTGATTTTTTAAAAGTAGTATCCTTGAAATAGAATCAAATTTTATGTCAGTCTATGGGGCGCCTGGGTGGCTCAGTTGGTTAAGCGACTGCCTTCGGCTCAGGTCATGGTCCTGGAGTCCCTGCATCGAGTCCCACATCGGGCTCCCTGCTCAGCGGGGAGCCTGCTTCTCCCTCTGACCCTCCTCCCTCTCATGCTCTCTGTCTCTCATTCTCTCTGTCTCAAATAAATAAATAAAATCTTTTAAAAAAAAATTTTATGTCAGTCTAACTTATTATTCTTGTACCCATGATGAGGTAATATGTCTGATTATTCTGAAAATATCATGAAAAGAAAATAAATTATATTTGGAAGCAATTACTGAGACCAGATGATTTCCCGTTCTTCTAGGAGTTAAGACAATGTTAACAATATTGCTTTATATGTCTATAAAGAGCCTTATCTCTGTGTACTTTGTATTATTATGTATCTACAAAATACCACTCTGTAACAGTAGCTATACTTTACAAATCTCTTTTTAGGAAGCTTAACTGTTAACTCCGATATATAGGTTCTGTGATCCATCCCCTCCCACCTCCCATCCACCCCCCAACCAATTCTGAAATTAGGAGGCTTTCGCTTTCCAGCTCCAACACAAAAACCGTGTCCCAGCTCAGGAATCCACTGTCTGGACAGCTATCTACCCTGCATTCCCCCAAAAGGAGGACTGGGAACTCTGAGCAGTGGGATGAATGCCCATGAAAAGAATGTCCCCATCTCTGCTTCTTTTTAGGGGCAGTGGGGAAGATAAAATACAGTCAGATGGCTACAACTCATTACTGCCTGGCAGGATTCAGGGTGAAATGAGAGTAAATTAATCAGCATTCAGGAGAAATGAATGGCAAGGGGCAATGTGTACTGAAGCTATTTTAGCACAAGTCAAATTAAACTTGTAGCACTGACAACACGCATTAATCTTCCTATCGCCTCCAGCATCTGTGCAAATGAGCTCCTAGTTTCCTTATACAAACAGCTGTTATTTTCCTGTTACTACCTTGGCAGAAAGTTCTAGTAATGGCCTGGTAGCTTACCTCTAGTGATTAACACAGACTTGCGCATTATACTCATTCTGCTCGTGAAAGAACTTAGTCTTCATTGCAGGGACGAGTTTTTAAAGTGCAGCGTCTAACAGAAAGCCAGGCTGTGCAAGGAACAGTCAGATTTGTCGGTCATCTGCAAACACGGGTTTAAATGGCGCTGTGGATGAACTGTTTGGATACCTCAGAAGTCATAAGGACTTTTTTCTAAAGGGAAATAGAAATAAAATTATGTTTTTTTCTAAAAGGAGCATTCTGACTTGTATTTCAAAGATCAGCTACAAATCTGTGTAACAGCATTGTATTAGATTATCTTCTCTGTGACATACATTTAGGAATAGTACTACTTAGCGGGAAAAGGTTGCCTCCCAATTAAAAAAAAAAAAAAAAGGCATAGGGATGGCTGGGTGGCTCAGTGGGTTAAACATCTGCCTTTGGCTTAGGTCATGATCCCAGGGTCCTGGGATTGAGGCCCACATCGGGCTCCTTGCTCAGCAGGGAGTCAACTTCTCCCTCTCCCTCTGCCGTTCCCCCTGCTTGTGCTCTCTCTCT